GTACCATGCCTTTGAGTTCATAACCTTCACCTAATACATCCATAGAGAGGGGAAAGTATATTTGACTGATACAGTTTGATGAAAGTTCTACAAGTAAAAATTTTGGAAGTGTAACAAAATGTTGCAGCACTGAAACAACCCCAGAATAATGTTGACACAAATCACAGAAAAGTGCTCTGCTACTTGGAAGTATTGCATCACAAACACAATTTTCAAATAGGCTGTGACCCAAATTTTGGCAAGTAATATAAATAACGAATATACATGTATTTTTGACAATTTCATTGTTGCAGGATGAACAAACTGACCGATTTTTCTGCTGTATGAGAAAAAGTGATTCCAACTGCTGGTTCATAGTTCCAACTGTGTTTAATGTAAATATATCACTAAATACAGCACGTGCAACCTAAAAAAAATTAAATACCTCTGTTATTTTTACTAATTTTCTCGCAGACTTCCTACTAAGAAACATTTCTCGCACAAAAATTACTCGCTAATATAATGAAATTTTGATGTGAAATTTAATATCAGATAAATATGGAAGAAAACTATCCATGGCTAATTGCTCAACTTTTTTCCTTGAAATTATACAGTCTTTATGGTGTTGTTTTTATCTAGTGAATACTCTTCATGCAATTCACTGACATCTTTACCTTGTAAACCCACCAAAAGCTCAATCTGTAGTACAGTTTTTAAGGTTCTTTGTGATGACACAGGGTCCTTGGATCAGGATTCGAGTGATTAAAGCTACTGCAAAACTGTGAAATTAAATCTACTTGTGCACAGTTTTATCCTAGAATACCAAAAATTAACACTTTTGCAAAATCAGCTACCAGTATGCAGGAAAATAAGTAAGCATATTACAATAACAGCAAAAGGAAACAAACAAACAAACAACAAACAAACAAAAAGAAAACAAAAAGCCAAAATGAAGCAGAAGATCAATGGGAAATAACAGGGTCAAAAGGTCAAGCTCAACTTTCTCTTTCAAAAAATGTATCAAGTAAAAAAATTCTATAAAAACAGGGTGCTGACAGTAGTGGCAACTGAATGATTCTCCAGTAATAATAATTTGCTTCTACAGTGTGTCTATCATTAATAATAATTAACAATAATTACATTTCTATAGCGCTAAAATTATACAAATATTCTAAAGCGCTTTTACAGAATAGTTAAAATTTATAAAATATTAAAACGATTAACTATTAAACAATAAAATATTTAAAACATTAAAACAAATTGTAAGCTAGCTTGAAAAGGTTTCTTCAACTTTGATTTAAAAACAGTATCACTTGAACTGGATCATATTTCAAGCAGCAGTTTGTTCCACAGAAATGGTCCAGAGTGGGCAAAGGCATGATCACCAAATTAATGTCTGAATAGTGAAACAAGTACTCAAACTAGAGTTGTTACTAAAAGTGACAGATGAAAGATTTGAGAAGTGAAGGGGAGGGTACTAAACAGAAGAGTTTCTGTGGAGCTCTATGGTAGTTTGTATGGATCTGAAATTTCATCAAAAAAGCTGAAAACACTAACTCTGCTTTTTATTTGAAAAGCTACCACAAGGTTTTTAATGTTTAATGTATAAAACCAGTTACCTGGAGTGGCGTTATTAGGAAGGAAGGCCTAAAATTCATGTGGGAGGGGGAACTCTAAAGATAATTCCAGCGTTTTTACCAGGGTAGTTTTTCATTTCTACTTGGATGGGCCTATGACGAGGGGTGCCTATAACCAGAAAGTTTGGTTATAGCCAGCAATGTTCATCCAGTCCTAGATCTCATTCTGTCCAGCCTGAACCTGACTATTATCATCATGAGGTATGATAATGGGAAACCTAGGTAGAACTCAGAACAGCATGAGATTATGTTCAGAAATACAAATGAATGCATTTTGCCAATAGGAGAGAAAAAGCAAATGGAGTGAAACTTTTGAAATTTGGGTACACAGAATAGATACCTTTTTATTAGTCGTGGATACACGAAGTGTACAAACGACTATTGTTAGGGGTCAGAATATGCAAATTTGTGACTCTTTCAGATGTAGACAAATCAATATGTCAACCACCAATATACATTTATCTGATGTAATGCTGCAAAGTAATATGTCAAAATACACTTCAGCTTAAAATTCCACTGATTAACACTTGTTGTAGTCAGCACATATGTAACTGAGTCATTGTTAGTAGCTGTTTGAAAGACTAAAAAGTTTAACTTTGTGTGTAGAGACTGATTGTGAGGCGAAAAGAGTCTTTGAATCAAACATACACAAAGCTGTTGGAAACGTCCAAAGTACAACTTATCAGTTCATCTGAACAAAACGCTAATGTAGCCAAAGTACGAAATGCAGTTAGAAAACTAGATGTACACAAAATTATCTACAGTAGGGTAATGCAAAAATACCCAGAAGGGTGAGGTGTCCTAGAAAATTTGTGATCTTGTTAATTATCTTCAAAACCTGTTCAAGCATACAGCAGTTGATTGAAGCAGAACTCTCCATTTGTATCCACGACTTCTTCATAGTTCTCCTTTGATTCTACATCTACATCTACATCTACAATTGGCTTGACGCAGTTATTACTAGAGGAAATGCTGTTCTATATATTTACCACTGAAAATTTCCAAAAATTGACAGTTGAACTACACAGTATTTTCAGGTTGCTCAAGCACGTACCCAGTTATAGGAAATTACCCCTCTACCCATAAGAGTCCTTTTTCTAACTGTGAAAAATATTCATCTTGCACTTGGATTGCATCCTTTTCACTCAGACACCCCTGGTTTCTAGTCTTTTGTACATTATGCTTTAATTTCCCCACTAAAATGCTCCACCTTTGTTAATGCTCCATTTTTCTACTAAAATGCTTGGTTTTCCCCCAAAAAGTCACTAAAATGCTCGGTTAATGCTCATACATGGGTTTTTTCAAATTTTAATAATTTTGACGTTTCAGCACAGTTAACAGTTCAGAGTGCTTAAAAAAAAACAAAACAAAAAAACGTATACTTAGTATAACAAGTTAACAACAACGAGTGTAGTAGTTTTAATACACCAAAAGATAATTCTCTAAATGGTCTGTTGTTCCGTTAATCCTTTGTACCCTTTCAGTGATACCTAAGTGAAGAGGCTAAGTTTAGTCTTCATTTTCTTGTAGATAATAATTTTAATTTCTATTTTCTACGGAAAATATGTCAATTCTCCGAGAAAATGCCACTAAAATGCTCGAATAATGCTTAATGCTTCTGCCTCACTAAAATCAAGTACAATGCTCAAAAAATTGCAGGCATAATGTACAAAAGCCTACTGGTTTCTTGGAAGAGTGCGTTTCAAAGTTTATGCGCTCCTTTTTCTAAATACTCCAGAACATCTGGTTTGTGTACAGCGAGTTTTAACAAAGCCAAGGCATCTCCTTCTGCACTATGAGCGTTCTCAAATTCTCCACCAATAAAACTGCTGTACAAATTTTTCAAAGAAAATGGTCTTCCATTTCCTGTTTGTTCTGTAGTCTCTGCATTGTGTGACTCGTTTTTAGCTTCTTTGTTCTGTTTTTCAAAGGCTGTGCGCGAATCAGTGGCGTAAACAGTTTCAGGCAACGTTATTCCCACAGCATTTAGATGAGAAACAAGTATCTTGAAGTCGTAATTGTCGCCATTGTGAGCTACTAAACAGGCCGGCGGCTGTTGCCTCATGATAAATGATCTTACAGTTCCTCCTAACTCGGTGTCGAATTTTTTCTTCTTCTCGAGATCTTCGTTCGATATACAAGTCACCACAGAAGCCTCTGATTCAATCTCCTTTGTTGGTCGAACGCAAGTGGTCAATTTGTCGAGTAAACGAGGAACCATTTTCGTTTTCGAGCTGTCGATGATGTGAGCTCGTTCTACAGCAATCATGCTGAGCTCTGTTATTTCCACGGGTTCTCCTAATCCAGTGGTTTCTAGATCAAAGAAAATGAATGTGGAAAACTGTGAATCAGAGATCATCGTTGTCTTGGATAGCTTAGATAGAAAGATCTGCGGTAAATGACATGTAAGTTTCTGAACACCAACAAACATATAAATTACCTCTCGAAGGGAAATTTCCCGCCTCGTTGGATCCAGTGCACTCACGATCTTAGCCTCATAACGAGGCTAGACACCTACAATCGTGGACAAAAGTCCTTGGGACACTTACGTAATGTAACGGATTATCTGTGTTTTAGAACTGAAGTATGAAGAAAACGCTGCTATATCCTTTATAAACGGGTTGCTGTCCCCGCCTCCCCCCTAACACAATGTTGAAAATCAGCTGAAATTGCACGTACTAGTTTTCAACATTGTATGGGGGGTGGGGGACGAGGTTAGGCAGGTGAAGTTGTATTCGCGCCTGGCGTGTACGCAAACGCGCCAAAAGTGCAAATTTGTCCCAAGACTTTTGTCCATGATTGTAGCCATGGGCAATCTTCCAAATACAGTCTGTCCCTGATCGGAGTCTGGCGGATAACATTATGTATTTGCCAACCGCTAAATCGAGGGTCCCCAATAGGTTTGGCGGGATGCGGGATTTGGCTTTTTTTTGCCGTGATATTTAGGATTTGAGCTGAAAACAGGGGCGGGAAGCGGGAATTACAATGACGAGCTGAAGCGGGATTTCGTGTTTTTATGGGGTTGGGATGGGGGATTCGCAAGGGGAACAGAGCGGGATACGGGATTTCAATTCTTACATGACCACATAGGGTTAGGGTTAGTTATTGACCAGCGCAAAAGCCACAAGCTGGCAGAAACGAACCTTTTGTGCATATAGCTGTGTCAGGCTTCAAGTAACGAATAGCAACGGCTTTCCACCCTGTCAGGTTCGGTCAAACGTATCCATTATCGTTTGACTACGTTAGTATCATGAGACTGTATGAGGTCTTTGAGCCCTATTGCAATCATTTGTGTTGACCTCCGCCGACATCAATGACATCTGTCCGTTTGCGACATTTTCGACACTTGCGTCTGTAATCTTGGGGGCCCCCTATCCTTTCTAGTTTTTCTAGTCTTTCAACCTTTTCCAGAGCGCTTGGCTTGTTTTGGCCAGGATGGCCTCACCGAATGGCGCTGATAGTGGTTTACCGAACGAAGTATGCGACATTACGACATTGCGTCACCATATATTACGAAAAGGATGCGCGAGTAGGAATGCCTTCATTCGGAAAGAAAAGTTCTGAGCCCAGATGTCAAGGAAAGTGAGGACGCTGAAAGCTTTTAAAGAAACTGTTAAGTGTGTTCACAGGCCATGTCTTCGATATGGGAATGAACAATCATTTTCTTTCACTGATACGTGGACAAAAGAAAACAAAACGACAAACTGTTAACAGAAAGAAACGTTATAATTATTTGTGCTCACTTATCTGCTAGTCATACCAGGCAATGTATGAAATTTTAAATGTTCTGAGTCATGGGTTCATTGGTAACTGTTGAGTTACCGTCCTTGTAAAAAAATATATGGGTTTATGGTCTAGTTTTAATTTTCAGCTGTTTAGCACTCTTTCTCTGCTTACCTGTTCTCTTCAGCTTGTTAATAAGCCTAAGGGCTTCCACAATTTAGACATGCAATTGACGATAACTAAATGTTATGTCAGGGGCAGATGCAGGAACTCCTTAAAGGGGGTTTGTACACCTTAACGTTCGACGCCACTACATGAATGGCGAGCACTGCAGGTGAGCTTCTAGAGGGTGTCCGGGACCATGCGCCTGAAAAAAGTTTCCGATTTTACCCTCTAAAACACCATTTCCAGCATCTCTGACACTTGAAAAAAGTTTGTGAAGGCATGATATGATATTTAGAGTTTCCCTTTTATCAACCAGTAAATCAAAAGTAATAATGTGGTTGCCAAATGTAAATTATCCTTTTTAACTTGACAGTCAGTCAGGGGGTGGAAGTGAAACAAACTATATAAAACTATCTGATCATATTATTTCTATGGTGAGTCAAACAAATAACAAATAAAATGCTACTCAAAGGGGGGCTGCAACCCCCTAAACCCCCTCCCCTGGATCTGCCTCTGTATCTACAAATACAGTCGAAGCACTCGTAAGTGGACACCCTCGGGACACGAAAAGAGTGTCCGTAACTGGAGCTGGCCACTTACGAGAATGGTTCTCGTAAGCAGCCACTAGAGGTGTAAGGGATAGATGGCCGCTTGCGGGAGCTTGCCCAGCTAACAATAAATACAGTACCGTATTGGAAATACAAAAAAATACCGCCGTATTAAATGATATTTTTGTTTTATTGCGCCCTATACTCTACAAACCTATGATGTAATGACGATAACTGAACAGTATTACAGTGTATACTGCAGTACTAGGACTTTCCCTCAGTGATTTTTGAAAACAACAAATCATAATTGCAAGCAACATCAACGTGTATACAATAAATACAGCCTAAACAAAAAGTAGTGATACAGTTTAAAATGTTTACGACCTGTGTGTCTTTCAGTCAGGCTGCAGGTTATATTAGTCTGGTTAGTTACGATAGGTAATTGCGGATGGAAGACTGCTTCAATGTTTTAAGTTGCAAGTCCGTCAAGGCATCTTTGACGAATGGTGATGTGAAGTTGATTGATAAAAACAAGATTCAGAGGTTGTTAATAGGATTTTCTCTGGGGTGTCCGCTTACGGGAGCTTAAAAACATAGAAAAAGTCTAAGTCGTAATCTCTGAAAGTGTCCGCGGCCGCTTACGGGAATGTCCGCTTACGAGAATGTAAAAATACAGAGTTTGTATGGGAGTTAAAACGAGGTTTCAAACAAGGCGGCCGTATGTAGAGCTGTCCGCTTACGAGTGTCCGTTAAGAGAGCTTCGACTGTAATAATAATAAAAAAGTAGTGGGTGAGACGACTTGTTGACAACTTAGTGCTAAATTTTTAGTCATCGACAACTAAGCAGTTTCCCTTTTGAAAAGGAAAACTGCTTCAGTTGTCGTCAATGTTTTTGTTGTTATCGACAACTTAACATTGTGCCCAATGCGAGCATTTCACACATTGGAGTGTTATTAGTTGTAGATACATGTCTAAGTCAAGTCAGCAAAACAAGACCTTGGAAACTAACGTCCATTACACATGCTCAAAACACAATATGCGTGCTATGGTTGCCGGATTGTTGCAATATTTAATAAGATACAATTTATATTCAGTAATTCATATTTTTGTTCAGTAATCGTCATTTTATATTCAATGTGTCATATATTTGTTCACTAAACTCATTTTTAATTCGGTGATTCATATTTTTGTTCAGCAATCGTCATTTTATATTCAA